GATTTTTCTTGTTTCTTGAGGTAGGCCTGTATTCCTATAAAGTTCCCACTTAGGACTACTTTTGCTGTATCTCAATTTTGGATCATTGTGTTTTCATTTGCATTTGTCTCCATGTATTTTTTTTTTTTCATTTCCACCTAGATTTCTTCACTGACACATTGGTTGTTTAGTAGTCTGTTGTTTAGCTTCCACATGATTGTGGTTGTCAGGTTTTTTCCTGTAATTGATTTCTGCTTTCATACCACTGTGGGTGGAAAGATATTTGATATGATTTCAGTCTTCTGAAATTTATTGAGACTTGTTTTGTGTCTTGACATGTGATCTTTCCTGGAGAATATTCCATGTGCATCTGAAAAGAATGTGTATTCTGTAGTTTGGGGATGGATTGTTCCTGTATGTATCTGCTAAGTCCATCTGGTCTAATATGTCATTCAAAGTCATTGTTTCCTTGCTGATTTTCTGCTTGGATGATTGATTGATGTCAGTGGTGTGTTAAAGTCCCCTACTATTGTTGTGTGACTGTCAATTTCTTCCTTTATGTCTGTTAATATTTGCTTTATGTACGTAGGTGCTCCACTGTTGGGTGCATAGATATTTACATTTGTTGTACCCCCTTATTGTATTAATTTCTTTGTCTTTATGTAATTCCCTTATTTGTCTCTTCTTACGGTCTTTGTTTCAAAGTCGGTTTTGTTTGCTAAAAGTGTTGCTAAACCTGACTTTCATTTATTTATTTATCCGCTTCTATTTGCACGGAATATCTTTTTCCATCCCCTCACTTTCAGTCTGTATGTGTCTTTAGGTATGAAGTGAGTCTCTCGTAGGCAGCATATAGATTGGTCTTGGTTTTTTATGTTTTGTCACCCGATGTATTTTGACTGGAGCATTGAGACCATTTACACTGAAAGTAATTATCAATAGATGTGGACTTATTGCCATTTTATTAATTGCTCTCTGGTTGTTTTTGTAGTTCATCTTTGCTCTTCTTTTGTTTTCTTTCCTTGTGATTGACGACTTCCTTTAGTGTTATGCTTGGTTTTCTTTTTATTTTTTTGTACCTCTTGTAGCTTTTTGGTTTGTGGTTCCTATTTAGCATCCTAGATATACAGCCGTCCATATTAAATTGAAGGTCATTGAACACAGTCTAAAAGAACTTCATTTTTGCTCCCCCCCCTCCACATTTTATATACATGTTATCATATTTTACATCTTTTTGTGAGTCCCTATAACTAATTTTTTATTTTTTTTAAATTTTTTTAAATGTTTGTTTATTTTTGAGAGACGGAGAGACAGAGCACGAGCAGGGGAGGGGCAGAGAGAGAGGGAGACACAGAATTCTGGGCAGGCTCCAGGCTCTGAGCTGTCAGCACAGAGCCCGACGTGGGGCTTGAACTCATGAACCGCCAGATCATGAACGGCGAGATCATGACCTGAGCTGGATTCGGACACTTAACTGACTGAGCCACAAGGCGCCCCCTAGTTTTTTAGATATAATTGGTGTTCTTACTTTTTTCTTTCAACCTTCATACTAGCTTTTGTAAGTGATTGCTCTGTACGTTTGCTTTACCTGTGAATTATTTTCCTTGCATAATTTTCTTCTAATTAAGGCATTTTCTTTCCTACTTCAGTCTCTTTAAACATTTTTTTATGAGGCTCTTTTAGTGGTGATGAACTCCTTTAACTTTTGTTTGGGAAATTCTTTATCTCCCCTTCAATTCTGAATGATAATCTTGCCAGCTGGATTATTCTTGGTATTAGGGTTTTTTTCTTTCAGCACTTTATATTTATCATGACTCTCCCTTCTGGCCTGCCAAGTTTCTGCTAAACAAGCAGCTGATATTCTTATGAGGTTTCCCTTGTGTGTAACTGGTTGCTTCTCTCTTGCCGCTTTAAACATTCTCTTTATATTTAATCCTTGACATTTTAATTATTATATGTCTTGAAGTGGACCTTCTTGAGGTCACCTTGTTTGAAACACTGTGCTTTCTTCCCCACGTTGGGAAGTTTTCCACTATTATTTCTTCAAATAAGTTTTCTGCCCCTTTCTCTTTCTCTTCTCCTTCTGGGGCCCCAATAATGTGAATGTTAGTACATTTGACGTTGTCCCAGAGGTCCCTTAATATATCTCATTGTCTATTATTATTTTTACTTTTTGTTATTCAGCTGAATACTTTTCATTACCATTTTCCAGATCGCTTATCCATTTTCTGCCTCCTCTAATCTGCTGTTGATTCCCTCTTATCTATTTTTCATTTCAGTTATGTATTCTTCAACTCTGGTTCTTATTTATGTTTTTGGTCTCTTTGTTTAAGTTCTCACTGAGCTCATCCACTTCTCCCTCCAGTCAGGTTCAGGTGAGCATTCTTACGACCATTTCTTTGAACTCTTCATCGGGTAGATTGCTTATCTCCATTTCCTTTAGTTCTTTTTCGGAGCTTTTGTCTTGTTCTTTCAGTTGGAGTATATTCCTCTGTCTCCTCATTTTGTTTGACTGTCTGTGTCTCTATGTGTTTATTTCTTCTCATGAACTTGAAGGAGTGATCTTGTGTAGGAATGTCCCCTGTGTTTTGACCGTCTGTGCCTGGCATCCTTGGCTGGCTGCCTATAGCTGCAGCTGGTACAGGCTAGGGAATGGGGCAGTCTGTGCTGAGACTTCCCTGGTGGGACGGCTGGGGCTGAAGTGGTGCAGGCCTGGGGTGTTCCACGGTGCCTTGAACCTGTGTCACCTTGGCAAGATGGCTGGAGCTTTGCGAACGCCGTCCAGGACCATCAGGTGTGTGCCACACTGGGACCACGTTGGTGGGACTGCTAGGGCCAGTGTGGGCTGAGGGTCTGGGATTTGCTGTAGCAGCAGGCCAGCTAGGTGTCTCAACCCTGCTCCTGTCTGCACTATCAAGGTGAAGGGGGAATGGAAACCATGGCCCTAGCCTGTGCTGTCATCCTGGAGAGAGTTCCAGCAGCTTCCTTGCTATTTGGCAGAGTTCTAGGGCCGGTACCTGTATACTCTTATTGCTTTTTAAAACTGTGGCTTTTGGGGGGCTCCTGGGTGACTCAGTTGGTTGAGCACCTGACTCCGGCTCAGGTCATGCGTGATCTCACAGTTCGTGGGTTCAAGCCCCACGTCGGGCTCTGTGCTGACAACTCGGAGCCTGGACCCTGCTTTGGATTCTGTGTCTCCCTCTCTCTGCCCCTCCCTGGCTCATACTTTGTCTCTCTCCCTCAAAAATAAACATTAAAACGTTAAAAAAAAAAAAAAAAAAAACAAAACGTGGCTTTTTTTTCTGTGCCACAGAGCATCTGGAGCCAGAGTGGGCTGAGGGCCCAGGGCTCACTGACTGGCAGGCTGGCTACGGCACCTGGACCGAGCTCCCTTCTGTGCTGTAAAGGCAGAGGGTGAATGTAAACTATGACGCTCCCCAGCCCCTCCGGCTTGGAGAGAGTTCTAGCAAAGCCTCTCACTATTTGGCACAGGGCTGGTTCCTTTCTGTTCTAGTTGCCCTTTTAAACCATGGCTTTTTTTTCCCCCTGTGCCCCAGGGCTGACGAATCTGCTCCCGGCCCCTCAGTTCTATCCCTCCCAGCAGCTGACAGCACCCCGGGCAGGAAGCAGAGTTGGGGGTGGGTCTCCCTTCATTGCCATGTCTCCATCCCTCTCCTGGTTCTCTGTGTGGTCCCTCCATCCTTTGTCGTGCAGGCAGCCTTCAAGCAGCCCTCAGTTCTTCATCAGGAAGATTTGCTCAGCAGGGAGGCACACATTTAATGTGTCGAGGAGGGGGAGGTGAGTTCAGGGTTCTCCTCCGTCGCCATCTTGGGCCTTCCCTCTGTGTTTAATTTTGTATTATTTTTCTCGTCCCTCTGTTTTTTAAACTTTAGACACTCGGGAGCCCTCGGTCTCATCCCCGGCTCCAGCCCTGAGGGTCTGTGACCCTGAGCAAATCACCTCCCTTGCCAAGGTCTCAGTTAACGCACCTGTAACAAGAGGCAGCCCTCTTGAGAACCCCGTGCATTTCCCCGGCACTCGTGTCACAGTTCTGGGGCCGTGTTCACTTTCAACCTCTCATTTTTATTGTACTCTCCATGGCAACTCGAGTTTGGTAAAGGAGGCAGAGGAGCGGCTGTGACTCTCATTTTGCTTTTAAGGCACCTGAGCTGGTGGAGGGTAGCCATGGCTGACCCAGAGTGCAATGCAAGTGTCCACCTCAGATTCCAGGGCCATCCCCCCGCCCTGGCTGCTGTCCACGCTGGGCCCCCTGCGGCTGCCCTAAAGCCAGCGCCAGGCAGCCCAACCCCCCGCCCCCACCTGCCCAGTCACCGCTGGACAGAGCAGGGGCCCGGGGACAGGAGGGAATGGCCCCAGATAACTGCTCTTTAGGGACTGAAGGAAGCAGACTGTTCGCTCTGTGCAGGCCCGAACCTGGGGGACGGCCTCTGGGTCCTAAATCTCAGCTCGTGTGCCCAGTGCAAGGGATCCTAATTATCATAGATGTTGGCGTCGTCATTTCCTGAACCACCAGTGAGTGTGTGAAAGCAGGAGGTGCCAGGAGACGGGGTCGGGTTACTCCACCTGCTCAGAGAGGCAGTTGTGTGCAGCTGTGAGAAGAAATACGCAGGGAAGAACGACCACGATGTACGTAGACAAAGGGATAAGTGTCACTCAGGTGAGGAGACCCCCAGAAAGGGGGGGATTCTCTGCACCCCGGCTTGGAGATTCATTTTATCACTAATAAAGAATAATGGCTCTGTCGAGGCCCACAGCCTGTGCTGGAGGCGGATGGGGGTGAGCTGAGCTGGAGCGTCGCCTGATCCCTCAGTAGAGTCTCCGTAAAATGAGAGGTGTCTGAAATCACCGTGAGAGCGGAGGGCCCCGGTGTAAATGCAGGTGGCGGGCAGGGTCCCGTCCCAGCCCGGGGAGGCGGCGAAGCGGGCAGGGGGACACGGGGGCGGCAGGTGGTGAGCGGGAGGTGCCCTCCGCGTCTCCACCAGCCTTCTCCTCCTTTGCAGTTGACTTGGAGCAGGTCTGGGAGCTGGATTCCCTGGAGTACCTCGAGGCGCTGGAGTGCGTGACGGAGCGCCTGGAGAGCCGTGTCAACTTCTGCAAGGCCCACCTCATGATGGTCACCTGCTTCGACATCACCTCCCGGCGCCGGTGAGGCGCCGGCCTGGCCTGCCAGCCCCTGGCCCCCCGGGACCCCACAGCCAGCCCCTCGCCTGGCCCTTGGTGCCGGCGGCTGGGACACAGCAGAAGGAGGATGAAGGTTGGTGCAAGTCTGGAGTGAGCGCTGAGCGGGAGGCAGTTTTCTGGTGTTTTCTGTAGGAAAGGTGCGAACACCACGCGTGTGGGAGGAGAAAACGATGGAAAGCCCAAGGACGTGGAAGCCCCGTGAGACTGAAAAAAGCACTTTGAGGAACTTTCGAGAACTTGTTTATACAGGGGTCCTGCTGGCAAGAGACCTCTCTCTTCTCTGGCTTTGTGGGGAGGGGCGAGGGTGCGCACGGGATCGCTGTCGGGAGCGAGACCGGAACAGCGGATCCCCCAGAGCGACTGATTAAGTGCCTTGCAAATCTTTATTATCCAAACCTTTCTGTTCATACTTTCTCGTGTCCAGACGGTGCTGGTCCAGACGGAAACAACCACAAAACAAAACAATCCCCATGCGTTTTTTGAAATGTATTTGCAGCTCGTTTTCTCTTGGTGTTTGATCCCATTTCTGACTTGCTGTTTCTACGTAAGTAGTGTTTGTAGATCTGTTCCCTAATCGGTATTGCTTATGAATAAATGTTAACTGTCCTTTACGGTTCTTCCGCTAAGGCCACTTGCACAGAGCATAGGGGCTGCCCGGGCACAAGCCAGCGTGTCTCCAGAGAAGGTCGGAACAGCAGGTGACGCTCGATGCCACCCCGCAGCAGGGGGCAGGGGCAGCGGGCAGACTCGTGGGGCAGGTGCACGTGGGCTCGAGAGAACGGGAGAGGCGACGGGGGCCGCGTTTTGAAGGGAAAAGAAGCCTGTGTGACCCGGGCCTTACGTGCCCTTGGAGAGGGATGTTTGTTGCTGACGACACATCTTCACCTTCCTGATGCGTGTGCTCGTTCCTTTGCCCACAAACCCGGGGTTTTTCATGGCCCTCAAAACATTCTCCATGGTCGTTTTGATTCCAAAGACTGGATTGAGAGCTTGAACCGACTCAAGAGAGCCATACTTTTTGTTCTCCAGTCTTGCGAGTTTGTTAGAAGCAGGGGATCTTCCCCAGTTGAGAGAATGTACTCAGAGACTCAACAGTATGGGTTCAGAATAACAAAGGACGTTGGGATCACACCACAGCTCTGTCGTCCAGGGTGCTGCTTCAGTGCAAATGGTCCCCAGTCTCCCATGTCCCGAGGCCTCCATCCCTAGAAAGGACAGGCTCGTCCCCTCGGGCCTGGCACCGGAAGGCGGAGAGGTTTCCTGTGGTGAACCACACCCCCCTGGAGAGCCAGGGCCCGGGGCTTTTGTCCAGGTCTTAGGTCCCAGCAACGTAGGACCTAAGCCTCAGATTGAGATGTTCATTCTACCACGACCCCCCCTTAGGGACTCTCATATCCACTGTGGTGATGGAACCCCAAGGCACTGAGTGGTCAGCGGATTATCTGAGACCAGCTGTGGAGGAGCAGCGGCCTCCTCTTACCTCCCAGGTCAGGGCCCTCGCCTGCTCATGGTTAAGAGGGCTCAGCCTCTCAGAGAATACTACTCACGTTTGCCCTCAAATGCAGCATAGCATCAGGAGCCTATTTCTAGGCTAGACAACCCCTGCTACCCAGCACCTCAGCCCCAGCTGCCCCCCAAGGAAATAGACCTGTGCGCGTCTGTGCCGGCAAAACTCAGCCGAACTCGGTACATAGGAACCGAGGTCTCGTGAGCCCGGCTACCTGACCCTTTACTGGCCAGGACAGGCACAGATGGCGCTGGCGGCTCGAGTGTTTGGAAGTCAGCCCTCTAGACTGGAAGCCAGCCTCATGGATGACAAGTCGAGCTCCACATTGTCAGAGCCTGCTCCTACACGGAGGGACACGCAGGATACGGTCTCATCGGAGAGCCTGATGGGCAGAAACATGGTGGAAGTGTTCAGGAATGGACCGATCTCCCTAGTTTAACAAGTCTGTCTGTCACCTGGGGAAGCAGGGCCTCCCCCCCCCCACTCCTCAGCCTTAACCCCAGCCTACGGGGCAGTGCAAGGCTCTGGCCACGCCTCTGGTCCCACAGCACCTATACGAACAGACTTGCTCAATGGCAATGTTGTGGAAGCTTCTGGATCTTGGCCAAGGGATGCCCATCTTCTGAGCCTTGAGTTTGCATCCCCTTGGGTTTCTGCTCTGAAATATACTGCTTCATGCAAAGCCTTTAATTGGGGAGTTGTCAAAGGTGAGTATTCTGGTCTTCATTGGAAACAAATCACGTGACGAGCACCCCACGTACTCAGCATTTTCCCCGGTGCGTCACCCCCAGCTTCCAGGTCACCACACTGCGCGGGCTTCCCCAGGCAAGGGGGTGCTGATGCTTTCCCTGGAGTGAGGCCAAGTGGAAACATCTACAGAAACTTAAAATCTCAATTAGTGGAATCTTTCCTCCTACCGAAGCCTGCTTTCGTACGTTGGTAGCAACTCCACAAGAGAGCAAAAGCATTGAGTGAAACCAAGAGCTATCTTACTGAGTCCAGTTGGCTTCCCCAGGATGCCACGGCATGGAACGTCTCACGGGATGTCGTCAGCCAGGCTGAGGACTACAACTTTGTGTGGAGGTTGTCCATTCTGGCTTTTTCTGTTCTTTCTCTTTCATTCTTTTAAACCTACGTAAGCTGCAAACATCTTCATGTACCTAGTATTGATTAATTATGTGAAGACGTCATGAATTTCATGCTGTCACGTGCTGGTTCCTGGTTCTACCTATGAGTTGACTATAGAGGATGCTGTTCGGGCACAAAAGAAAGCAGGTGTGAGCAACTATCCCACTAATTGAAGAATGCCTTGTTGAATGACCAGATAAGTGGTTCCACATTTTGGTCTTGGTGACAGATAACCCACGAAGGCAAGGAGAATGGCACAGAACTCCCATTATCCACACATAGAAGGACCGGAAACTTCTTATTTGAAATTAATGTTTCGATGCATAAAGCCTTAATTCCTCGTCTGAAATCTGCCCTCCACCCTCCAAATAGTTTAGCGTGAGGTGTAGCATTAAGCAGAACAAAACGCAGACAGACAAAGACAAAAGGGAAGTAGTGATATTGTTTCCCGCGGAGTAAATCCATCTTGCTTTTCATGATGCTGCTTTGTGCTGTGACAGAGTGACAGTTGGCTTTATCCCAGGCTTCCGGTCCCCACCTGAGAGCTGCAACCTTTGATCTTCTTGCCCTTGAATTCCTCCCTCCATCACGGAGAAGCTGTCGCTAACTTTCATCTCTTCCAGATTCGAAATCAGAACACCGCGTTCGTTGTTTTATCTTGTGTTGCTATTCTGAACCGGAGGAAGTTGGTGCAGATGCGGGGAGGGGGGGAAGGGTCATACAAGGGACCCTGAGCTGGGGGGTGGGGAAGGGGAGAAGATGGCAGCCCAGCGCAGGGAACCCCGCAGGCAAGAATCTGGCCAGTCGTCAGAAATTAGTCTTGAGCTTCAAGTCTGTGCTCCTGGAAGATGGCAGTGGCTTCACCGTGGCCACAAATACCATCCGGGAAGGTGGTTCCAAAGGTCCGACACACGCATTCACATCTTGTGCCTGTTCTTAGATTTCTGTTCGTGAAGGGCAAGGGGCCCTTCTTCTCTGGGCTTCAGCTTCTAAAGCTGATGGTGAATTTGGGTTAATCCGTAACCCTTAAGTGTCACCGTGTGAAAGCAGTTCACTGACCTGGGCTTCGTGGGACCGAGAGCCAGGCTTCCAAGAGCCGACCGACTGTGGCCGACTGTGCAGACACAGTGGCCAGTCTCATTAGCCACGGCTGATGCGCAGTTGAGGCACCCCAAAAGCTATGCAGTGAATGTTTTAAAGTTCCTTATTCCCAAAAGGATTTCAGGCTACAAAAGAAATTACTAAAGACGAGTCCATGTCACAATTGAAACCGGAAGAAATCAAGAAGAATGTACTCATTTTTCTTTCCTTCTGGAATATTCACGCACTCTGAGCATATCCTAAAGGATTTCCTCACTTTTAAAGGCAACATCTTTTCAACCCTGAAACCATGTCAAGTAAGAAAGAGGTTGAAAGTCTTGTCACAGCTAGTTGATGCTAAATAAACTGCCCGGTCCCGCCGTCCCCGGGGTCTCCCTGCCACTGCCTGGCGTCCCGCGACGGAGGGACGCTCCTCACCACTGCCACATGAGAGACCTGGCTGCACCGAGAAAGCCCAGCAGAGCCCAGCACTGTCTGTCCCACATGAAACAAAGCCAGATGCCCAGTTTCACAGACACTGCCAACAAATGGTCTAAAGGGGTTTTGGAGTTGGGGGGTGGGAGGTGGTCAAGAAACAGGCGGTAGAAAAACTATGTTTCTCTGGACTATAATATCTCTTTCCCCCTCCTTCAGCAGATGTCCATCAACATTTGTGGGTAAGAACTCACAAATTTGTGCCACTTAGCAGTTTTCCCGACAAAAATACATATATATATTTTTTTAAATTACAAACTGTTCATTTCCAGATAAAAGCCCAATTCCAACCCAGGAGAAGCCTGTGTAGCTCAAGCCCTTCTTGTCAAAAAAGGTTTTTGCCCATTCATAGAAGCTAGTGTATTCATTCCTGAACAAACACATTCTGCTTTTGGGTGGCCCTCCTCAGAACCGGAAATGATGTCATAATATCGGACCCAGAATGGCGCTGGAGGCAGTAGAGAGCCTTCAGTGCACCCAGTGAACACTCTCCAGACGGACTTGTGCCCGTGCGTGGACTTGTGCCCGTGAGTGCGTGGCCCTCACCCGTCTGCTTCACACAGACACAGCTAAGAGGGCTCATGGCTTCATTCCCCCCACGGCTAACCAACAGCCCACGGCCATGCTCAACCTAGGAGGAAGTTTGATTTCTTTGCAAACTCAGGATATTGTTTTATAGCATCACTTGTGTTTTATCCTTTACTTATACATCACACTTGGAAACGCTACCCAAGTGCTATGCATTAAAGTGTAAGTTGGGGGCCTTGGCTGTTCTTTCCCTGCCCTCTAGTGAGGTCTGCTGATGGCGACACGGGCCCCGGGGAGGAAAGATAGATAAATCTGGAGAGCAGGGATTAGGGTCCAATCCTCAAAGTACAGGGCTAAGTTCAAAACCTAAGCTGTTTCTATAGCGAATAGCTGAGGGGGGGGGGAAGGTCCCTTCAGTTTGCATTTGATGATAATGGGCTTGGAAATTGGCCTCCACAGGCCTGGATGGAATACCTGAGAATTCTGAGGAAAGTGTGGACGGTAGTAGGTTATCGCTGTCCCCAGAGAGCCCCACCTACCCGTCAGGCGCTACGGAAGGGGGTTTGGGAAAGCGACCAGATCTCCTTCCCCTGGATGTGGATAGTACCTGTTTTTCCTGGAGAAACCAAAGCACTTTACTGAGTCTTACAGCCCGTAATACTTAAGGCATCTTGTCCCCTCCCTGGGTCCCTGAGAGGCAGAGAGGGGCTGGGGTCAGTAGTCTCATTTGAGAGGCAGCTATACCTAGGAGAAAAGCCGTGAGCCAGGAGTAAGGAAGCCGGGGGCCAGGCCCCGTTCCCTCCCTCGCTATGCAACCTTGGGCCAGTGGCTCCACTTTGCCGGGCCTCGGGCTCCCCAGCGGGAGATCGGGGG